GTAAATGCCTCCATCCTCACCGACTCTGGTGGAACTTGTTCTGTCTCAGATTGTATCCCTCTTTGTTCTGATGCATCAATACCCATTTCGAACTGCACAGGTTCATCACTTCATGTTATCAAGCCCGGCCCATCTTGCAAGTTTGATCCGGTTAACCCGGGCTATGCTGCCTGTCTTGAGAAAACCCGGAAGGACTTGATTGTTGCCACCGTCGCATCTGCTCTTATTGGCTGCGTTATCATGGGGGCCTTCGCTAACCTCCCTCTGGGCCTTGCACCGGGCATGGGTACCAATGCTTACTTCGCTTACACTGTCGTGGGCTTTCACGGTTCTGGCAACATTTCATACCAGAGCGCTCTTGCTGCTATTTTTTTAGAGGGTTTAATCTTCTTGATCATTTCAGCAGTCGGGCTTCGGGCCAAGCTCGCAAAGGTTATACCTAAGCCCGTTAGGATCAGCTCCTCCGCCGGGATTGGGCTTTTTCTCGCCTTCATTGGGCTTCAGAATAACCAAGGAATCGGGCTCATCGGGTACAACTCAGCGACTCTAGTCACTCTCGCGGGCTGTCCTAACTCATCGCGGGCTTCACTTGCTCCGGTTATGACGTTGGCTAACGGCACCATCGCTTTGCTTCCAGGAGGGGCTGTATCAGGTGGTATTTTCTGCGTCCAGGATAGAATGCAAAGCCCAACACTCTGGCTGGGCTTGGTGGGCTTTATTATAATTGCTTTCTGCTTAGTGAAAAACGTTAAGGGTGCTATGATCTACGGGATTGTTTTCGTAACCGCCGTTTCATGGTTCCGGAACACTAAAGTGACGGCGTTTCCGAACACAGATGCGGGTAACTCGGCTTACGAGTATTTCAAAAAAGTCGTGGACGTACACGTGATAAAAAGCACAGCGGGTGCTTTAAGTTTCAAGAATATCGGAACGGGAAATTTTTGGGAAGCTTTGTTCACGTTTTTGTACGTTGATATTTTAGACACAACGGGAACGTTGTACTCTATGGCGAGATTCGCAGGTTTCTCGGACGAGAAAGGAGATTTTGAGGGTCAATATTTCGCGTTTATGTCAGATGCCACGTCGATAATTGTGGGGTCCTTACTAGGTACATCCCCCGTGACGGCTTTTATAGAGTCGTCAACGGGGATCAGAGAAGGAGGACGAACGGGGATAACCGCATTAACCATTGCGGCGTATTTTTTCTTGGCATTCTTTTTCACACCGTTATTGGCATCGATACCGGCGTGGGCGGTGGGGCCGCCGTTGATATTGGTGGGTGTGTTGATGATGAAATCGGTGATGGATATTGATTGGGAAGATATGAGGCAGGCCATACCAGCGTTTGTGACACTTTTATTAACACCTTTGACTTATTCTATTGCTTATGGTCTTATTGGAGGGATTGGGACTTACATTGTGTTGAACATATGGGATTGGGGGTGGGAGATTTTAGGTCACTATAGGTCTGTGGAAACAACTAGGGTGCCTAATGGTTCCCATCATGTTGGGGCCAATGGGGGTGTAGTTCTACATCAACAACCCAATCCATAAAGTGCACTGTGTTAAAGCACTACAAGTTGAAATTTAAATATAGGGTAGTTAGTCCTATATGTAATAATGTGGTCTCTTCTTTTTCATACCTCAATTTCACAAAAGTGATGTAATGTAAAAATTGTTTTAACATTATTGTTTGATCACTTTGATGTGATATAAAAATAAATCATGCATAAATAAAAATTGTTTAAGTTAGAATGTAATATGTATGAGTTAAGATTATATTCTAATATTAATTTATTTATCTCAACTATTCACCGCATTCAATAGTTCAGATTGATCTACTAACGAAGTATTTGTCTAGTAGTATAAAGACCCATTGTATTACCAGTCGACTGATTAAGAATTTAATTCCTGTGAACGACACTTGTTGGGAGTGTCATATCAAACATCCCAAAATGTATTAGTTTCTTACCCAATGTTGGAAATACATTTGTTAGTATAAAAAATACTGAAGTATATTAAGCAAATTATATTTGTACGTCTTTGTGGTGCACGGGGGTTACATATAACCAGTACGTTTTATAGGTACAGTATTGTTTGATGATCATATTCAACAGCTTAAAAGGAAAACTACATTTAGGAGCAATGAATTGCTTGCAATCTTCACGTTTATCATGATTTTCAAGTGATGCAACGTCAATGGTCTTTAGGTCTCGTAATATTAGTGTTAGGTTTAAGTCATATCATAAATGTAAAATTATATGAAATGCCCTATAAAAAGGCATGAAGGTAGTATAAAAGACAAATAAGTTGATAACCTCACATTTTTAATAAAGAAAAATTGTATTAAAACGAGTACAAGGGGTGTCAACTCAATACAATAGAGACTAAGACTAAGAAATCAACTTTGTAGAACATAAACTTAGACAAAGTTTAATATTCATACGCCAACTAGCAAAAGATAAAGACTTGCGAGAACCAAAAGAAAATAATCAAATCCAAGATATAGTTTGAATAAGATCAAGAAGGTTCACATAACCTCACTTAATTACTTCACCATTAGATAACTATAACCGATTGAAAAACTAAAACAAGGAAGAAATGAGAACAATTAAACAACATATTTTCATTGAATATATTTTTATTATTATTAAGGGTATCCCTCATCTTATGATAAGAAAATAATTACTTTCGGATATTGTAATTTTTCCTTCCAACAAGTGTCGTTCCGAAGTTACTTGAATGCTACAAATTGGTTAGTTTATGATTTGATTTTTTGGGGTACTATCATGGGTATCTTCAGCTTACAAGTAAAGAACTAATTCCTTTTTGAATGTGTAGCTTATTCTATACTATGAATTGCATTCTTAAGATTTTGGTATAGCTGGACATGGTTTTGTGTCAAACTCTTACTAGAAAAAAAATGTCATCTCCAAACTTTGCCCTTCTCTAGTGGGAATATGATCTGAAATGGCACTCAATCACAATTCTTAAATAAAATAGACACGTGATTGTCATAAATGGCAACAACCCAGCAAGCTCCATGTATAAAAAAAAACATAAATAAACTGCTTATTTATTTCTAAAATTCGAAACAAAATGGTGGGGTGAACCATAAATATGTTTTTTCAAGGATAATATCAAGTACCAAGTATCAACTGCTTCTATAAACAAAAAGGTATTTTTAAAATATTAAATGAATTTATAGATAGCATATTATGTCCTGTGTATTTGGCAATAATATATGCCATATTTTTAAAACTTGTGTTTTTTTACGTTTTGAAATAGATTAAGCTCTTATAGTCAACCACCGAAAAACCTTATTGCACTACAAAAAGCGTGTTTCTATTATTTTATGATGATCTAAGAGAGAATGATATATACATGATTTGAAGAGGAAAAGGATGTGCAACTAGTATTATCCATTATAATAACACGTATTTTTTTAGAAATTCTTGCTTAGGTTCAATCAATTTATGTTTTTATAGACGTTTAGTCAATTTAGCATATATAATTCGTCTTATCTACACCGCTTGCATATTATCCCTGCCCAATTAGTCCTCCATTTTTATATTTTTTTGGCGTATGTCTACCTATATAGTGTTGGGGTAGGTTAAGTTGCTCCCCACACACATATATATGAGTTATAAGGTGGTTTAATGGTTCACGTGTTGAGGAATGAAATTGGGGAGATTGTGAGTTTGTCTCCCTCATCGTAACAAAATTTAAAATAAATAAAAAATAAAGTTATAAAGTGATTTAATGATTAAAGAAAAAAGAGAAACAAATGAAGTTTATGGTTCGAATCTCACCCATAATAAATACTAACAATTATTATTACAAAAAATGAATTTAATATTATATCTTAACCTAAAACCTTAACTATTACCTCAATCAATTCCTAGTTCGTGTTACTCCTTCCCACAAATTTTGCTACTAGAAATCAATTTTTTCTGATATAATTAATATCTATATCTATTTTGCTACATAAATCTCTGCATATTGCAGGTGATGCCGTAAAGGTAGTGTCTGGTGCAGTGGTGCTTGTGTATCAATAAATGCTAATAAGGTACAATTGCTGGCACTGCTTTCAATGAGTGGATAAACTGTCATTCATTAACTAGCACTGCTGCCATCTAATAGCCCTAAAAACTGTACCAATTCATTGATATTGTTTATAATTTCACACAAAAATATTTAATTATTAAATTTTTTAATGAATTATAAATTGTAACATATAAAGTAACACATTTATTTTGGTACAACATATGGGTGAGCATAGGCCAAATTGGAATAGATTAAAGTTTGTACTTACTCGAGCTTGTTTGGACCATTTTTCTGAACTCGGACCCGATCATAGACTCGGAGTTAACCCGACCCTAAATATATTTACAGAGTCAGCATTTAAATCCAAACTCGACCTTAGACCCGATTAAATATAATATATACTCATTTTACATAAATTCTTCTGAATAATATATGTGTATATATATTATTAAACATATATATGATGAAAAATTAGAGAATCAATGATATTTTCGACCAAAAAGTATCATTACTTTGTATATATTTGAATAGAGACACATACAAAAATCATGAGTGAGTGACCATAAGATGAGTCATTGTCTGATCCCTACCTGACCCTAAATATCGATATGGTCTAATTTTTGAACCCGAACTCGGCCCTAGACCCGATGAGACCTAACCTTTTTCAGACCTAATCATGATTGGACCATACTGGGTGAGCGAGTAAGATCGAATCATGCTCACCCTTATTAAACATATGCGCTTCTCATGTTTCAAACATCAATTCAAGAGTGGGGTTAGGTGTAATAAAGGTATTGAAGCTTAGCTCATATTCCTGACCTTATCTTCCACTATGAAAGGGACATAGTGGGATTAGGAACCTCCCAAAGAAAGTATTGAGGTCAAAATATTGGATCTAATTAAGGTCTATATAATAATCTGGAATGAATAGGATATATAGTGCTTGAAATTAATTGGGAGATTTACTATTTCTGGTTCAACTGCCAATTAATTTACAAGTCATTAATGACTTGTTATTCATGTTCTTGAGGGTCAGGAGAAGCAGTAACATAGGATACCTGGAGGGATAGAAGCTAATTAGTAAACAAATGCAGGAGAGTTTGGTGAGTTGTTTTGACATGTTTCTCATATAAAATTTGTACCATGTCATGTTTAAATATGCTATAACCGATATTTTAAAAAGTCAAATTAAGAAATGGAAAGGATTTACAAAATCACAAAAAAAAAAAAGTGATGTTATATTAGAATTTCCTTTTATGATTGATAAACCATCAATCCTAGGATCTTGAATCTCATGATACAAAGTCATATATGAATATATGTTTGTCAGGTCTATTCTTTTTGGATGTCTTTGGAGAGAGTTTTGGTATGATGAAGAAATGTGAAAATTATTCTTGATTTGGTGTTTTGGGACTATAACATTCCTTATGCTTTAACTTATGTAGTTCTCATTATCTTGTATTGGACTATTCACTAACTATTTGAGTATCCACTTATTAAGATTATGTTTATAATCAGTTCTAGAAATCTTATGTATTATCATATGTTAGATCACTTATTTTATAAATTAAAATAAATAGTTAATATAATTATATTAAATATATGATAAATTCCTTACTTATAAATTTATAAGATAGCCGCAGTTCTTGAAATTACTAGGAAATGGTCATTTCGTGCCGACCATGTTTGGTACATAAACCAAACTTGTTCGGAACAATGTCTTCAACACAACCTGTTGCCTAATTATTTCTCTGTTAACGTGTATATGTATTCAAGATTATGCATCAGAGTCAGAATTCATCATGACCAATTATCTTTCTTACTCAGAACAAAATCTATCTTGCTAGAAAGCTGACAAGAAAAAGCATGAACTCCAAAACTTTCGTGTTGTAGGTGTGCTGAAAAACATCATTGGAACACTAAAAAGTATTGGTCGACAGAAAATCCAAATTAACACAAATATTAATTTTCAGGGAGTAAAATCTTTGCCTCTACGTTAGTTAGAGGTTCAATATGGATATATGTATATAATTTTGAGGTGCTAGATTAATTTTATACTCAAATTGTATCTCCTTTCTGTTGGATATGTAACAATTGTGACAAGTACTTGAATCTTATTTTTTTATGATTTGAATCCTATTTTTAAAATTTAACCACAAGTATCTCTAAAACCATATTGAAAGGGGGAAAAAACGAAGCCACGAAATGTAAGGGCAGTTAATTGGAGGAATGCTGGGAGATGGAAGGGTGAAGAAAATTATTCTTACTTATTTTTAGTATAATATTTATATATTGATATTGTAAAAAATTATATGCAATCAATACATTAGTCAATGATAATTGCAAATAAATTATAAATGATGTAGTAATAGTATAAAAAAACTATTGCGTTCATTAATTTAGTCAATCAATGTAGTTTGGGAAAGATGTCAGCGCCATGTCATCATAATTTGAATTCAGTAATTTATCCTCAAGATGAAAGTGCTAATCGGTGGTGGAGAGAATATTAATTACTTCTTGATAATCGAGTTAGACATCAAATCAATAAAAATCTTATATAAGATTTGACCATTTTAACCAGTTAAATCGTCTCGTTAGAAAACATCATACATAATTAAACATTAGTAACACGTTAACAATGTGGGCTGCTAGCCCATATATTACGTCATTGAAGCAAACCTAAATACCTAAGTGAGCTTGGCCCAACCCAATCTGAATAGAAAGTGCTTTCATGTTAAGTTAGAGACCCACGAGTAACAAGCATCAAATGGCTTGATCAATTTCATTTTGAAACCACATATTAGTTTAGTGGTGTAAGCCTATGTTTGATGTATAAGATGATCAACAATCCAAAGGTTCAATTCAAGTGAGCAATATTTATTGGCGGTCATACAACTCAAAAGAGATTAATTCTTTATCCATAAGATAAAAAATATTTTAGTAGTACAAAAAAATCATTTTGCAAAGCTTTTTCCCTAAAATATATACAAGAGTCCAAACCCACACTCACCTAAACAAAAAATTTCATTTTCAATTTTAATATATATCATTTTATAGAATTAGAATGTTTTTGTATTTATTATAATGTTCAGTTTAAGGTGTAATAGGTTATTATTGTGTAAATGGTACACACATGAATTATATCAATTTTTGTGTGTGTAGAAATTAAAGGTTTAAGTAAAATCAGAGAATTATAAATTAATTCATGCGATAGTTACATCATGTTTTGTTTTTATTTTATGATATTAATTATTCAGGTTTTGTATATTTTATTTTGGATTATTATAATATTTATTCTATTGACTTTATATAGTAATTTTTTGGTTTTATTATATGGTTCAGGTGAGAAATGTGATTAATATGTTAGTGACAGTTAAAGCATAAATTAAAAATGGTTAAATATAAATATAGATATATGAATATATAAATTAATTGGGTTCTAACTATCCGTGCTAGATTCCTCCTAGGCATTTTTATTTCGTTATTTTTTCACCCACCATCACAGAATTGAGGACCTAAACCTCTTGAAAATTTTCAAAGGTGGACTTTTGAATTAAGTAAAAGATGATGGGCGAAGATATGCCATGAATCGCTGGCTTCAGACTATCTAGTAATTTTGGTGGAAACTCAATGTGGATGTCTATTCTTCAAAGATATAAATCATCTGAAATAAAAATACATGGGCTCAACTCTTTTTAAATCTCTTCTTCTTTAAGACTATTCATTAAGGAATAATATTAAATAATAAGAAGATTTTAATCTTATGATATTTTCAAAAATAAAAAGAAGTAACTTTTTAGATATATATCGTTTAGTTTGAAATCTGAGAAGACATAGTACATATTACAATAATGTGCTCAGAAACTTTGATGAAAATATCTTATTAACCTTAAAAAATTAGCAAAATTTTGAAATACCAAGCCAAATATTAAACCATGACCCTACAAGAATGAAGATATATTCTTCTTCTTAACCAGAAACACCTAATTAGAGATGTAGTATCTACAAATTCCTTTAACATTAGAAATGCAACTTGTTATTTAGAGGTTCTTTTTCGACATAATATTGTTTTCTTAATCCTACACTGTGATTATATTATTCATCATTCTTTCAGATTATTTACATTATCAATATATTAGTCATGCATAGATTTTAACCTTATTTATGATTTGAATTCTCTAACATGCATTTTCTATTTTTCAGAAACAATTTTCTCTTTCTCCATTTTTTATTTGCATCAGTTATTATTTAAAAAAAAGGAACTAAAGTCATAATGTCCCCAAAAAATTTAAGTTAGAGAATCTAAAACCATAGGGACCGCATATTAGACCACATGGGGGTAATATCCGAGGGCATTTTGGTCAAAAAAACTTCACAATCATGGGATAAAATATAGGATCAACTTCATAATACTAACAAAAAAAGAAGAGAACCAAACATAGATGGGAATTGTAAGTAACATAGGTTTCACTTCACTTACCAAAGTTCCTTTGTACACAAAACTACTTTCAAAGCATAGTTATCATAAATCACCATGCAGTGTTACAGTTCATAAACCTAACAACTACTCAATTAGGGTGAGTCAAACTCAAATCTGTTGTAAACTATCAGAAAAAGGGATTGAAGAGAACCCCTCAAGCAAGAGTAGTTCTAAATCTAAGGACAGAATGGAGGATTATAATATAGCTATGAAGAATATGATGAGGAACCCTTATGAGTATCACCATGATCTTGGTTAGTTTCACTTTCATCTATATGTTTTTTGTTAATTACCATACATAACATTCATCATTTGACATTTGGTACCTAGTACCTTTGTCTATGTCTTATCATTTTAAATGTGATATTAATAAATATATGAGAAGGGTCAACGATTTAATAGCATCCTCACAGTTTTTGTTAATTTACTAGATATAGTGAGAAAAACTATAGGCGAAATTAGTATGAAGGAATTAGATACAAATGGTTAGTTTATAGACATGATTTATGTCAAAATATTATGAAGTCATTTAATTCATGTAGCCGACTCCACCTAATGTGAAGCGGCTTGGTTGCAATAATATTAGATGGTGTTTTTGTGGTAGAGAGAACTTATAGTATTGTTCTTTTGTCTTCATTTAAGTTAAGAACTACTATGTCCATGTTACATAACTGATGTAATCAGTGATTCATTATTTCAGGTATGAATTACACACTTATAACTGATAATTTGATTGTGGGCTCCCAACCTCAGAAACCTGAAGATGTAGATCACCTAAAAAAGGAAGAGGGTGTGGCTTACATTCTAAACTTACAACAGGATAAGGATGTTGAATATTGGGGCATAGACTTGCAATCAATAATAAGAGAATGTCGTAAACTTGAAATTCGCCATATGAGGAATCCGGTATGCAGGCATTTTTCTATAAATTTATTGAGAAAAAGCAATATAAGCCCTGCCATATGTGATAATCTAGACAACATTACTAAACTTTCCTGCATAATGTCAATAGGAAATAGAGATTTTGATTGGCATGACTAGTTTAATCTCTATGCCAACTTCAAGTTCACATTTTGAACTATTCTTTTATCTACATTGTTAGGCGAAGGACTTCGATCCAAACTCCTTGCGAAGTGCACTCCCTAAAGCAGTCTCATCCTTGGAATGGGCAATTTCTGAGGGAAAAGGAAGAGTTTATGTGCATTGCACTGCTGGACTTGGTAGAGCTCCAGCAGTGGCAATTGCTTACTTGTTCTGGTTTTGCGCCATGAATGTGAGTGCTTAACTCTCACCTTATTTACGGATCCAGAAACAATTTCTAAATCAATTACTTTACATTTCATGTCTGTTCTGGTTGCACTTGCATACTATCTTGGTAGTAACTAGTGTGGTTTAGCTTAAGTGTTACTTTCCCTTGGACAGCTAAATACAGCGTATGACACGCTAACTTCAAAGAGACCATGTGGACCAAATAAAAGTGCAATACGTGGAGCTACTTATGATTTGGCTAAGAATGATCCATGGAAAGAGCCATTTGAGAGTCTTCCAGAATATGCATTTGAAGATATAGCAGACTGGGAGAGGAACTTGATTCAAGATCGCGTCCGTTCCCTTCGTGGAACTTGACAAACTTAGGTAAGTGTTCCTGATATGAAAAAATTTCGCGTGTTATTAGGAATTTGAGTGCCTGCATTATATGTTTATACTTTATAGAGCTTCAATTGCTTTTGCACTTTTTAAGTTCTTGAACAACAATGTAAACCAAAAGATCACCGAAGTCTACTTGTTGAACTCGTTCGCGACAGAGGACTCCCATTGTCGTTGGGACATGGAAAGAGTTATAAATAAGACATCACATCTTGAACCAAGACCTTAAGGAGATGCCTCCATGCAAATAATGCACCATAGTTGTACTGGACTTTTTAAAATATGAGAATTCAAAATGCTTATTTGATGCTCGAAATCCTTCCGTGTTTCTGTTCTAAACACAGCATTGTAAATCATGCCTCTAATTAAAATCTGAAACAGATATTCACAATAAACCAGGAATTTCTCCCATGTTGGTACTGTTAAACTTTTGAAATGCTACAGAAGCAACCATGAATGAAATCTTCATGGCGACCCGTAATTAGCTCTCCTCAATCCTAATAATTCTCTGTTTTCGTGCACCTCTTACAATAACTAATCCAACCATAGATGTTACTTGTTAGTCACACATTCGAACACCTTTCTTGCGTGTGAAAATGTCTTGTAGTGTTGCCATTTCAATTTATCGCATTTTCCATAGGCTTCATTCCGATAGACATGTGAAATTCGCATCATTCCAAAGTAGTGTGTATTTATTTTTTGACAGTGGTGTGTGTACTTGCAGGAATTGATGCCAAAAGACTAAGTGGTACTAATAGATGCCTTATCAATTAAGAGCCATCAACATGAATCAAGGCCAAGAGAGATATCCCAAAGTATCACCCAAAACACTTTATTGTCATATATGAGATATCACAATGTTGAAAATGTCACATTAGTTAAAATATCTATGATTGGAAATTGTCCTCCATATACATCTTTAAGGTTACACCATGTTCAATCTAGACCCAAAATCTTTATTGAGTTGAGAAAGCTTTCACATAAGTTGATTACATTTGTCTTGGTCTTTTCCTAACAAGATTCCAACATGGAGGACCACAAGTTTTCCAAGCATGGAAAAGCTAAACTAATCACATGGTAAATGTTGTAGTAGATGCATTTGATTAAACTAATTAC